TTTTTTTTTTTTGTTATACATTACGTGAGGAGGGTGTAATGGAACTTACCAAAATATAGTTTTGTCCAAGTTTATCTAACAGTAAAGTTGTGGGAGAACGTCTACAAGCAGATATAAAACACCTTAAAAACGGTAATTAAAGGAAGCATAAAGCATTATTGAATTTTAAAAATGTACCTTACATAGTTTTTGCATTCTGAGAGAATATTATTATTAATATTAATTATCCAGCCATTATTCTCTTCAATAGTTGAGTGAAAGCTAGAAATTAAACAAATGGATGTAGTCTTGTTCATTTGTGAAACTCCATGATCCAAATATTATAAGCAGCGCAAACTTTGATGATACGTTTAAATCCAGCATAGTCGGCTAGGGCCTGAAATTCCTTCTCTGTCCTCTCCTTGCCACCGGGATTATACGCTAGCATCATCATATCGCCAATAGCGGCCCGTGCATAAGCCGGACCACTATTGAGGTCCTCTGGGAAAATAACGTCTGCAACTATTACTTTCCCATCATGTGGAAGGGCTTCATAGCAATTCTTCAACAGTTTCTTGCAGTGTTCATCACTCCAGTCATGACAAATCCACTACATACAACACAATAAAATTTATGCATTTAATTTTCATGCATGTGACAATGCATCATGTAAAGATCACATAAACTATTTGGTTGGTGAAAAATCTATTTTTTCCAATTCAGACCCCACAACAAGAAGAAAAAAAAAAAGATAATAATGACAAGATACGTGATACAAAAAATTGTATAACTTTTCCATTAATTAAAATTCAGTCAAGGCAGATATATAATAGTAGGTTAAATTTCATGTTTAGTTCACTATGTTGGTCCATTTTCAAAAACGTCTATCATATAGAGTGTCATAAAAAATAATTCACTAAGTTGCCATTTTAATCAACTCGTGTACATTTGCCAACACAGACTATGTTTGGTAGACCAATAAGCGCTAACTTATAACTCATTTGATTTGCTTATAAGCTCCCCATATTTAAATAAACTCCGTTTGGTAGGACTATTTTATTTGAAAAGCTCGAGCTTATTTGATAAACTTCTTTAGATAGCTTTTCAAATAAGTTAGTTGATTTTTTTATTCCAGCTAGTTTATCAACTAAATTTACCAAACATTTTTATCATATAAGCTAGCTTTTCAGCTATAAGTCATAAGCTATAAGCTATAAGCTCGAAAATTATTAATAAGTTATAAGCTAACTTTTCAGCTATCAGCTCGCTTATTAGCTTGTTTTACCAAACATAGCCAGTGTACTAAAAATGATCATTTTTAGTACACTACGATGGTTTTTTTACGAATTATAATTAAAATGGAAACTTAGTGGACCATTTTTTATGACCCCTGGACATTTTTTCGGAAAATAGCACCATTTTTTAAATTTAACCTATATATACAAATAATATCCAATTTTCACAAAAAATGAAAAAGCTATTTTAAATTAATCAACTGACCTTCATGAACATGGCATCAGCTTTGGGCACACTAACAAACATGTCGCCACCGATATGTTCCACACCTGCACAAATTTCATTATCATTAACATGTGTATGTATTATTCAATTCATGTGAATCTAGTAATTACTAGTAGAGAACAAATTTATGGAAATAGTTAGGATCATATTTAAATACCTGGGTAAGAAGGGGCTTCTTTGATAACATGGGGCAGATCAAAATTGATGCCCCTCATTGATGGATATTTGGATACAATCATCTTGAGTGAAGCTCCAGTTCCTCCACCAATATCGACTAGGGAGTTTAGGCCCTCGAAACCTTTGTATTTTTCGAGGATCTTCTTCATGAAAATGGTAGATTGTTCAAACATGCCTTGGTTAAAAACTTGGTTAAATCTTAGGTCTGTAGCCGGGTATTCGAACGCGTTCATACCATATGCTCTATCGAAAGGTACTCCTCCCTCCAGAACAGCGTCTTTCAGGTGATACCTGTCAAATTTCAGCAGGTACCATTTTTTGTGTTACTTTCACCACTATATTCTAAAATTCGTTTTTGAAAATATATATATATATATATATGTATATATACAAAAACAAAATCTTACACACATGAATGTAGTAACTACAATTAATCCAATTTAAGCATTATATCGACTCACTAAATCAACATCGTGATTTTTTTTTTATATATATAAAAAAATCTTATTATATAAATCAGCATATAAAGGGACGATTTCCTTAAATCAATATAAGTTATTAGATGTGTTAATTTTTATATGGACTCTTAGATGTGGTCCAATAAAAGTGATGTGTCGGTTTTCTTTATTGGAATTTGATATAAGAGAATGGTCCCGTAGAATTTTTCAATTATTAAATGTGTCATTTACGATTTGTTTAATTTAAATTTTCTATTATTGATGAAAAATGAATGTGAAACTTATCAATTCCATTGTTAATATTAAATAATTAAAGTTAAAATTAAATAATTAAAGAAACAATATTCCCTCCTTTTTAAATTATAAGTCGTTTTGACTTTTTCGGTATATCCACTTTGTTATGTATCTAGATAATAATATGTCTAGATACATAGTAAAATGAATGAATCAAAAAAGTTAAAACGACTTTTATAATTTAAAACGACTTATAATTTAAAAAGGAAGGAGCAAGAGTTTGAAACGGAAGGAGTAAGAGACAACGGAAGTGGAGAATTAAAGAAAAGCAGGCATGGCAAATATTTATTTAATAAGAAAATTAAACAGCAAAACAAAAAAGGGAAAGGAATAATTGACCATGTCCCCATGAAAACCCTGTCCTGTATCATCAGCGAATAGCAGGCCGCCAGCGAGACCCCGTCCTCGTTTCGAGTCAAATACCGCCTCACCCGCGCCTCCAGCCCGTACCTCTGCTGGCCGCCATCCATAGTGCAGGTCAGAACGCCGTACGCCGCAAGAAACCGCAGGATCCGGTCCAACATGGCCGCCGCATCAGGGTTTTTCGTCGGGAGGCGCGCGGCCAACTCGGAGGCCGACGCGCCCGCGGGCTCGGCTTTCTTGATCAGCTCAAGGAGGTCGAGCTCGACCGCGGCTCGGAGGACCATGGGAAGGACAGAGCCCGCGGCCAGCTGCATTGCAAACACGCCAGCTTCTTCATCATCGTCTTCGGGAGTGGGCCGGGCCACAGGGTTACTGCTTTTCTCGTCCATTCGTTGGGGGAAATAGAGATATATTGTGAAACGAGATGTGATAAGAGTGGGAAATGGAATGGAATGGTAGGGTAGATATATAAGTGGGGATAAATAAAAAGGTTGGGAAAGAAAAATAATGGATGGAGGCCGGGCAGGTATTTTTTTCCTTTATTTTTTTTTTTTTGGAAAAAATATATACCTACTTTTTAACAGTTTTGATTTTGGTGCAGCAAAGAACTCAAATTTTGATTTTTTTTTGGTAAGGGACCTTCCGATTTCTGAATCCATAGGGAAACCGACTAATACGTAATCGAGCCGAGTAGAACCACAAGGCGGCAAACAAATCAAATTTGGATTTTGGAGTAGTATTTTTCCAAGAGAAGCCCATGTTTTTCTCCAATCAAATCTGATACGCATAATGACAATTACAATATGCACTGAATATAATATAATATGTACCCAATATTATATATTCTATGATTTTTTTTGACTAAAATGGTGTTCGGTTGACTACAAATTATAACAAATGGGTAGACTGTTCAATTTGCAAAATTAATCGTACTACCTCTTTCACATTATATATCAATAATCAATTAGCCGGAGCCTTAACCGATCTGAGAGGGATGCGGGGTAGGTGAAATAGCAATAGTGGGTGAATAAACGGATGTGTTATGTACAAGCACGGGAAAAATTAAAAAATAATCACAAGTATATGGAGTAATATTTTTTATAGAGTGAAAATGAGGAGTCCCACAACATTTAAAAATTACAAACGAAGGACTTTTGTTGCTGAATTCTTGATTTTGTCTAAAAAGTTGTTGGTGTATATACTAAAAACTTTATTTTGGATGATATTTAAACTTTATTTATGTTAGTTTTTATTTGGATGATATTTAAACTTTATTTATGTTGAATGAGAATTATGTTTGATTAAATAGGTTTTTATATTCTGTTGTTTTGTCCTTAAATAAAATGGTTCATTAGCGGGTGAACAAAAAATTATTTTATTAGTCACTTGCTAAAAAAGAATTATTGGTCCACAACCTAAATAGAAATGAACAAACCATCAGATTGGTTGTAATGTCAACTGTACAGTTGGTCCTGACTGATTAGTTGTACTAATATATTTATGTAATGAACAAGATCCCAAAGGAGCAGTTTGTTTTATACTGATCGTCATAAACTAGCAAGGCCTCAGTTAATTTATGCGTTTTCTTAACACATAAGATATAAACAGGCATGTGCATGCAATAATTATTACTTTGATTCACTAAAAGTGAGATTCAGTTAGCTGGGTCGATATACTTGATGTTTTGGGTAATGATGCTGCATGTACGTGTTGGTATATGTCCTAGAGTCAATCTTTTTGAGGATATATATGTAAATTCTGGTTATTGGCAGTAAATCGATGAACCTTCTAACGATCACAGGATCCAGAAAGATGCGGGAGTATTTAAGGGAAGTTTATTTTTGGTATGAATAAGTTTTGATTTTATTTAAGAGCATCTCCAATGTTCTAATGTTGTTGTAAAAATTTTTTTTACAAATGTCAAAAAATTAAATAGATTGTGAACCATGTAGGACAAATATTGAATTCACAACTATGAAATTAAAAAAATCATCTCCAATGCACAAGGTTGTTTAATTACAATAATATCTACTTGTCAAATAATAAAATTTTAATATGAATTAATAAAAATAATTAAATAATTAAATAGTTTGAAAATGGTAATAATAATTCTGTCTCTTCTTCTCATTGGCTAATTAGAGTGTGGAGTAGGATGTGGATGAACCACATTCTTCTCTACATTGTGGACATTAATTAAGTCCACATCAACACAATATTTGTGATCACATTGTACATTGGAGGATGAAAATTACATGCTCAATGTTGTAGATGAAAATTACATTCCACATCCACACATTTATTAATATCACAATTTTTCATCCTCCAATGTACAATGTGATCACAAATATTGTGTTGATGTGGACTTAATTAATGTCCACAATGTAGAGAAGAATGTGGTTCATCCACATCCTACTCCACACTCTAATTAGCCAATGAGAAGAAGAGAGAGAATTATTATTACCATTTTCAAACTATTTAATTATTTATTTTATTTTATTAATTCATATTAAAATTTTATTATTTGACACGTAGATATTATTGTAATTTGACAACTTTGTGCATTGGCGATGATTTTTTTATTTAATAGTTGTGAACTCAACATTTGTCCTACATGGTTCACAATCTATTTAATTTTTTGACATTTGTCAAAAAAATTTCTACAACAACATTAGAGCATTGGAGATGCTCTAAGTCTAAGGGACTAATTATTTGTGTTATTATTTTGGCAGGACTTTGGGATTGAGGGCGAGATACACTTTCCATAGTCTAAAGAGAAGGAGGATCGCGAGATTCACATACCATATACATGGTTGGCTTGGGCTCAAAGACTTATCAATATACTGAAGATAAAAGGAGGACGAGAAGGCAGCTGAGGACGACTGTTTGATTCGGGTTTTGAGTTTTATATTTTTCTTTTGTTGAGTGATAAGTAGAACACATAAGTTTTTTGTAACAGAATGTTCGGAGGTTCATTCTGATTTAGTTTGAGGGATTCGAACTAGAAAAATCCACAAGGGAGTTGTGGTTGGATAAGTAGTTGTGTGAATGATATTCAAGTAGAGTGTAGAGGGAGTCTATACTGTAAATCCTTGGATGATGTATGAGTTATTCACATTAATGAAAGAGATCTGAAGGGAGAGTGGGACACTCTCCTGAAGGTTCAATTTTTAATGAAAACTGCTTCCGCAAATTGTTTGAATATTCATTACTGTCTGTTTGTTCTATTTACGTGCAACTCTGGATACTTGGTGTTCAAGTATCAAATTTCAATTGGCACCAGAGCGGGTTTTCATCTTCATTACGGAAGATCCTAGGACGTGTGGTACTATCAAATCATGAATCAAGAAAGCAGATCTATATCTAGGCCTCCGCAATTGGACGGTTTGAACTACTCGTATTGGAAGTCTATGATGACAATTTTTTTAAGATCGCTTGGAAAAGGTGTGTGGGAAAGTTTTGAAAACGGATGGGAGCATCCAGTCATGCAACAAGCACCTTATCAAGGAAAAGAATCCACGAAATTCACGGTTCCAAACCTAAGGACAATTAGACAGATGCTGAGAAGCTTCAAGAAGAAGCCAACTATCGTGCCTTGTATGCGATCATGATGGCAGTAGATCAAACAAGACACAAGATGATAGTTCATTGTAAGACTGAGAAAGATGCCTGGCGGGTTCTACAGCGTCAATTAGAAGGTTCAACACCTGTCAAAGCATCTAGACTTCAACGGGTAACTCTTCAATTTGATGAGATCAAAATGAGGGATGAAGAGACAATTGACGTATACTATGCCAGATTGTGTGATCTGGTGAATCAAAGTATGATGCTTGGAGAAGAAATCTCTGAGAAACGTCAAGTACAAAAGATTATGAGAACCGTTGTTCCCAGGTTTAGAGAGAAAATTACAACTCTTGAAAGTTTCCAAAGAGTGGCATCGTTGGATGTTGATGAACTTCTTGGAGAGCTCAAGACGTTTGAAATCAACAAAAATTATGACAAAGGCAAAAGTAAGGGCTTAGCTCTGAAAACTGTTGTAGTCGAGGAAAGAGAAGAAAGCGATGACGATGAAGGTCCGTTGACAGATGATAGTGAGCTGAAATAAGCACTAGCTCTAATCGCGCGAAACTATGAGAAGATGAGTCAAAGGCTGTACAAGAACAAATTTGCTGGAAAAAATGGGAACAACTTCAGCAAAAATGTGGTGCATGACAAGAAAAGTAGTATGCCACTCTTAAAATCCGATTCACAACGAGTTGAGAAGGATCAATGCAGGGAGTGTCGAGGCTTTGGACACTTCTAGTATGAGTGTGCTAATCTTAAGAAAAAGAATAAGTCACTGAAGGCAACCTGGGAAGATTCAGATGAAGAAGGCACAGACGAACCTTCTTTGCACACCAGCAACTTGGCAGTTCATACCTCAGTCAAGAAGTTCATGTGTCTCACCACCTCTCATGCTCCGACCAAGTTTGAAGAAAGTTTAAAAGAAACTGAAGCATCTGAAGATGAAGCAGATCAAAATGTGTGTATAGATCCAGTACACTTACTTGCTATGGAAAAGTGTGCTCAAGCATCTGAAGCTCTACAGAAGCTTCAAAATGAAGTGTTTAGACTTTCAAGAGCAAACATGGTGCTGAACAAACAAGCAATTCGCTTCCACTGCTACTAAAGAGTGTGAACTGGATACTGGAAAGGCTCGAACTTGCATTCTTGAGAGTAGTGTCAAACTTGCTAAACAAGACGGAGTGGAGAAGGCTCAGACCATTGAATGCTTGAGGAACGAACTATTCTCTACTCAGAAACTTCTTGCGGAGCGGAACCAGGAAATTGTGCTACTGAAAAATAAAACTGATCGGCTGATGAACGAACATGCTAGCATGGAAAGAAAACTGAAGGTAAATTCTGCTAAGTTGAACCGAACTGCAGAAGTCGTTCAAAAACTGAACAAGGGAAAAGCAGATCTGAATGAACTTCTCTCCTTGGGAAAACAACATGGTGATCTTACTGGAATAGGGTACACGGGCGAGGAGAATCATCTAGAATCCTCAACTGGGACTTCGAGTACACGACATGCTGGCCTTGGTTTTGGGGACACCTGGAATTGGAGGTGTGAACCTGCATGGGAGACCTTCCAGAAATGTGTTTGACATGTTTGTAAAAAGCACTGTAAGTGAACTTCTATCTCTAAAATCTCCCTTGAAGGTTCATTCTCCTATGCAGAAATCTGTTAATAAAGCTCACCATAACTTTGTTCCTATCTGTCATATTGTGGTGTAACTGGTCACATAAGACCCAAATGTTATAAAATGCAGCATAATCTTTGTACAGGTAATGTTAGGGGTTGGAATCAGTATGGCATTCCAGTGAAGGTTCATGCCAGAACCCTCCCAAA